GTATGTTCACAGAAATTCTAACAGTTGTCAGGCCCTTCCTGCTGCTTCTTGGCGGCACAGGTTCTGTCAAAGTACAAGGCTGTGTTGTCACACGTTGTCGTATGTGGGGAGGAAGCTCATCTTCCCAGGAGAGATCAGCATTGGAGTCTAAAGAGCAGTGGACTCAGAAGTCAAGGGGACCGTTTTCTATTGGAGCTTCTGGAGTTAGGATTTTGCCTTGAGCAAATCCTTGAATTTTTTTTGGATTTTGATTTTCCATCTGTAAGATGAAAATGGCTGGATTCTCTAAGAAAGAGTCTAACCTCGAATTACATGGCCAGCGTACACAGTGAGCTTGGGCTTCCTCATACCATGGCAGCCTCAGAGCAGTGTGACTCACATGGTGACTCAGAACAAGGGAGAGAAGGAGAAACGGCCATAAAGGTCTCAAAGGGCATGGCCGAAACAAACAAAATGTCACATCTACCAGATGTTATTAATCAGAGCAGTCACCAACCAGTCCAGAAGCCCAGATGTAAAGGTCTGGAACCTAGATGCCCTATTTCTGAATGCAGGCTTTCCAAGAATTTGAAGCCATCTTCAATCCTCCACAAAAAATAATGCAGTATCTAATATTACTTATGATGAAACTTCATTTGAAAGTCATTAAACAGAATCTCTTGATGCTCAGAAAAATCACAGGACAGAGCAGAAGCACGATTCTAGTCTCATGCTTCCACTTCCTTAGAAAAGTCAGGTCATACCTCAAAGCCTCAGCCTCCTATCATTTTAAAGAGGGATATTTCATCCCTTTCCTATCTCCCAAAAATTTTATGAGGATTTGACTAGATAAAATAAATGATCTCTGGGCCAAATGCCAGGAAAAATGACTGAAAGAAGATAAAGGTGTAGAATATTTGAATTTGGCTGAAAATAGGAAAGTGGTATTATTATCTATATGTTGTAAATGCCTAGGAATTTCTAGTAGACCAAGTGCAGATGAAACAAAGGAGAGATGAATGGATGATGGACAACACCACTTCTTGGAAAAGAAGCCCAGACGTGCTAAGAAAGAAGGGGAGATTACTGACCCATTTATGTGGAAGAGTGGAGGTGAAAAGACGGAGGTTAGGCTGAACCCTGGGACAGGGAGAACTTTTGCAAGTGGAGTTTTAAAATATAGCTAAAGAATGGGAAAATAAGTTAAAAAACCATAAAACAGTCAGGAAGCTTTTTGTGTCAATAAAATACCGTTTTCATTAAGTACTATTTTATAAGAGTACTTAAATATACAAGAGGAAATGGACAGAAACATGTTAATTAGTAATTCGAAATTAACACTTTCCTTCATATTTGATAAAGTAGATTTAGTTTTTTTTGAATATATGGAGAAGGAAATTGAGTGAATAGTGTGTGTAGAGAGAGAAAGACTCTACATTCATTGTGCATCTTTTCAAGTACCTATGAAACATTTACAAAAATTGTCATATATTAGATAAAAATAAACTTCAATATATAGAAACTACTCAGGCCATATTATCTGACCACAATGCATTATTAAATGAAAATTAATAAAATATGCACAAAAAAGCAATATCTCAACAAAATGTACACTAGCAATCTCCCATATAAAATAGGAAATAATACCACAATTACATAATTTAGAAAAGGATGATTTTTATTCTACTTACAAGCCATTGGGATGTGGACAAAGTGGCATTTGGAAGGAAATGCTTTCATTAATAAACAAACAAAAATGGAAATGGAAATATTCAACTTGAAAAGATTGAAAAGACCAAGAAAACAAGACAGACAGAAGGTGGAAGTTAATTAGGATAAAAGCAAAGTATAAGAAAATATAAGAAAAACTGAAAAATATAAATTCTTTAAATAAATTTTAAAACCCAAGTATGTAAGTTGGAGACATGAAAGGATTTACAGAAACAGGCAAAATTCCTTTTAAGCTCCAAGAGAATGTGATGCTTTTTTAAATAAAAATGTAAATGTCAAATAATATTAGGAGCATTGAGACTCTTTGGGAAACCACGATCATAACTCTACTTGTGCATACTAAATCCTTGGATGGAATACTGACTTAAATGTTTTTTTCTACAGTTTCTCAAAATTCTTTAATATTGGGATCTATTCGTTTTAGTATCAAAAGAGCAGAAACAACTCGAAAGCCTTTCAATGTGGATATATTGAATAAATTGGGGTGTGAGATCGTCCTTTGTCTTTGTCCAGGTGCATGTAAGTAAACAGGGCCTATGCTAGGTAGTTCAGTAGAGGGAACGGCTGCACTATTGTTTCTGGACTGCCTTTACTTTGTTTCTGCCTTCCCTCACTCGCCTAATTAGTAACCGTTTGAATCCGCCCTTTGGAACCCAGGGCATGTCTAGGGGACCGAAAGCCTTTTTCCTACAAACAAGACACGGAAAGGCTTTGGTACCCAGGAGGGCCCCACAGGGTCCTGCTTGGTTTCATAGGAACTCCTAATTTTATAAGGTGGCCGCTAGCAAACCTGCCCAGCCTTCAACGTGGAAGAAGACAGTATCTGTATTTTCCTGGTCAGGAAACAAATATGTCCTCCACCCTGGAGAAAGACACTCTCTTCCAGGCCTGTTTGCTGCACAAGCAAATAATAGTAAGGAACAAAAGTTGTCACAAGAAATGCAGAACCACGAGTGGCCCAGGAAGAATTCTTTCCTAACAACTACCTTTCAACCAAATGTTTTCAAAAGAGTTTTCTGAAGTTTAGGGAAGGGGAGGGAAGCGGGTTGCAGCAGGAAATGATCTCCTCTTTGAGATCGTACACTCATATCAGATGTTGACATCTGTATATTTACATATTGCCTAAATGGGAGTGAGCAGAAGCTGCCAACCCTTGTTTATATCTTTAAGAGTCTTCTCAATATGAGGTTCTTTGCTTTGAGGTTTCCTTTCTTATCCACTGGAAGACAGCATAACTCTTATCTGTATGATGCTCAGATAAAGGTATTAACTGAATATCCATAGGGCACACTTTGGGCCAAAATCATCCTCTTGGGCTGTGAGATGTGTAGATTTTGTTTTGTTTTGTTTTTTGTTTGTTTTTGCGGTACGCGGGCCTCTCACTGCCGTGGCCTCTCCCATTGCAGAGCACAGGCTCCGGACGCGCATGCTCAGCGGCCATGGCTCACGGACCCAGCCGCTCCGCGGCATGTGGGATCTTCCCGGACCGGGGCACGAACCCGTATCCCCTGCATCGGCAGGCGGACTCTCAACCACTGCGCCACCAGGGGAGCCCTGAGATGTTATTAATTAGAGGATTGCCCACTGTCAGAAAGTGCACGTTTGCTCAGATTACATCAGAGAAATGTGCACGAAGGCCAAACAAAACCATTTCTGGATATTTTTTTAAAAACAGTGTGAATCAGTAAAAAGAAATTTCTTTCTTGAAAATGCAATGTGAAGTATTTTTCTATTTGAACTAATCACGTGTCTGAGCATCACCTGATGGGATGTTGTGTGGATCTCTGTAGCTAACCTTACAGTTTATCTTTCAAATAAGAAAACATACCACACTTTTATCCCAGAACTTCTCAGGGAAAACACTTTTTCTAATATGTACAAACTCCTATTGCAGGAGCAAGGAAAAAGATCTATTTGAGGAAAGAGCCATCGGGTAAGGGTGGGAGCGGGTGTTAGGAAAAACTGTAAGACGCTGTATGTTCAGGCCACTCAGGATGGCTGCTCTCTTGCTCTCTGTCTATCCCCTGCCCGACCAGGGCCTGCTTCACCTACACCCTATGCATACGACTGACCTTCCTGCGTACTTGCCCCAGGTCCCAGCTGGTGATTGTTCTTATCAAAGGGGCGGGGAGGTGCATTCCCTCCGCTGGTTTCCCTGGTAACTAATGAGTCCACCTGACGTCAATCCCCATATAAGTGGCAATCCCCCTTACACAGCAAAGACTGCCGCCATGTCCTGTCACATCCTGCCTGACTTGCGCCGGCACATGGTACGGTGTCACTCCAGGACCTTGCTTCAGACATGTAAGCTCCCCCCATCCATTAAACCACTGATGTCTCTGTTGCCAGCTCCGGGCTCTTTCTTCGGTCTTGAAGCTGGGCAAGCACAGGGCTTGTAGGCTTGTGGGGTGCAGCCCAACAGACAATGAAATGGGTGAAAAAGAAATGGTATCTTGGGCTTCCCTGGTGGTGCAGTGGTAGAGAGTCCGCCTGCCGATGCAGGGGACACGGGTTTGTGCCCCGGTCCGGGAAGATCCCACATGCCGCGGAGCGGCTGGGCCCGTGAGCCGTGGCCGCTGAGCCTGCGCGTCCGGAGCCTGTGCTCCGCCACGGGAGAGCCCGCAACAGTGAGAGGCCCGCGTACCGAAAAAAAAAAAAAAGAAATGGTATCTTGTGTTTGGCACCATTTGGGGGTATCTGTTTCTGAAAGGGCTTGCACCTCCACTTTTTGAGTTATTTTACAATTCAATAAATTGTAGAAAGCCGATGGTATCAGTAATGCAGGTAATTCTTGCTTACAGAAATGCAAATAAACGTGTCTGATGGAATGTAATTGATTATTGCTGTGGCTGTTTACAGCGTTCCTGACCAGCTAGAAGCCCTTTGAATTCTCTTTGGAATCAGTCGACCATCTTTTTGTTCCCTTCTTAATTAATGAGTGAGATGAATTGCTTACAAGTGTTCATTTCATATTTTTTAAGTCATGATTTTCCTTTTTTTAAAATGATATCTTAGGAGTTCCCTGGCAGTCCAGTGGTTAGTATTCAGAGCTTTCATTTCAGTGGCCCCAGGTTCAATCCCTGGTCGGGGAACTAAGATCCTGAAAGCCACACGGCGCACCACACACCCCCCTCCAAAAAAACCAAAATGGTATCTTGAAACAGCAGGTAATGCAGGAATCTGTAACATTATATCATATGTCACCCACGTTTAACGCTGAACTTTTAAAACAACACATTTCAGTTTACTATTTTAAATAAAGCCTAACACACGTTATCTTTTTCTTTTAGCTTCAGACAAGCTTGACTGAACCAATGACGTTATCCAAATCAATATCTCTTCCTCGCAGTGCATACTGGCATCACATCACTCGTCAGAACAGCGTTGGGGAAATCTACAGTTTGCAAGGCAAGTAACCGTAAAGCACCTGCTTTAGCTTCCTACAGGTGGACCACCAGCCACGCAAATTGCTTTGTATTTGCATTGCTTGCTTTTCCTCCATTTCCAGTTATCAGCTGTCACTGGCCACAGTGGGAGCTCTGAGATTTACCGTGGCTTTGCTAAAGGTATCATTTCATAGACTCATAGTAAAAATTATCCCAAAGATCACCAAGGGCTGAGGACCTGCTTTGGCACAGGAATTTGACTAAAACATTATACAAAACATATTATCAGAAGCTAAAAGTAGCTAATACCAGGGTCTGTTTCATGCTGTGTTTTACAAAGGATTTCTTACTTAGCATCTTGTTGCCGTAATAGGATTGAATATCAGTTCAGGAGGCTGACTTCCAGCTCTGTGATGAAATGCTGCATGAACCTACTCATAGTTTTAAGGTTTAGCCAAAGCCTTGACGTAGAAACCATATGGGAGGGTGCAGGGCAGAAGGAGACAGGTGTAAGTATTGTTGCTTCTGTATTTTTCCTAACGATAAGGCGTTGACTGACTGCTTGGCAGGTGAATCAGAGGAACAGAGAGCAAGTATTTGATCGACAGCAGCAGAACTCAGTTTCCGTGGTTTTCTTCCTATTTTTTCCCTTTTGTCCTAAATTCATAAACTTAACCTTCAGATAAAATATTCAGCTACAAGAAACTAACAGCTGACCAAGACAGGAGGAAGCAGGACCTAGGAAAAATAAGGCTAAAAAAACACAGCTGAAAACACTCACCAAACCTTTTTTGAGCATAATAGGCTTGAACATACTAGGTACCCAATAAATACCTGGTGAAGGAATGGCCAGCATAACCTTTCAGAATATTTTTCTTTTCATACATTAACTTTTGCTCATATTAACAACACTCAATGTTTTGACAAAAAAAGAAAAAAATTTCTGTAACAAGCAAACTGAAATATTGTATTTTTAAAGCAGTATTTGCTTGCCAGAGTTTCAAAGCTAGAATAATGGGATTTGATGAGTGGGAATGAATGATTAAGGATACATTCTGCAAGGAAAAGCAGTCAGAACCACGTTAGTCACTTACAGAATTGCATTTTATATTTTAAATGAACACTCTTATCACCAACTTGACTACCTGTATTTAATAGATCCTTATTATCTTTTTGTATTATTTATTTGTATGAGAAAATCTTTAATGGCACAAGGATTAGAGGATTGAGAAAAGGAGGGGAACTGCTTTGATAGTTTCATTTGTCAGAAAGAGGAGACGTGCTTCCATTCTGTTTTTTTCTGTCCACAAATGCCAGTGACCACACACTAAAATGGCCCGAGTCATGATCTTATGAAGCTAATCTTGCTTGTTCCGGGGATTAGAAAAATTAGAAAATATGCCTTTAACGTAAGGTTGTTTTTATTTAAACGTAAACATATATATGTAAATATTGATATTCAATAGAAGAAAACTAAAACTATGGAATATTTGAATAAGAGAATAAAAACAGTTAAATTTCTAAGCAAAAAGAAAGCGAGATGTTAATACAAATAGATTGGAAATGGGTTGGAACCACTGTACTGAAAACTTTGGGTTCTGACAAGGTGTCGGTTTGTAATCCCAGCAAATAAAAGACTGTGGTTTTCATGGTAACATACAGAAAACCTTTCTCCGAAGGTAACATTAAGATTTAGACTGATAACTTCAGAAATAATGTCATAAGCACCCAACAAAAAATACCAGAATGCATTAAATTTCTGAAAGCATTGCCAGAGACTTGTTGGAGGACAGTATTGATTTACACAATAAAATAGAATCAATAACTAATTAGAATTCTCTGATTTATGTCACAAATATTAATTTCCAGTTAAGGGTTTCAAATGCCTTATTGATTACGATGAACTGTTTATTTATATGATCTTGTTGGCAAGGTAAAATTTACCTTCTAACCTTCCAGGTTCTTTGGCTGGTCTAATAATTAAATTGACATTAGATTAGCAGGAGAAGAACAATTTGTTATATATATATATATACACGGGAGTCCCATGAGAGCCAAAGGCAAGTCTGGCAACCGAGGCTTATATGGCGTATCCTGAGCTAAGGGAAGGGACAGGGGCCTGGGGCTTCCAAGGGGAGGAAGGTGAGTCACAGGACGATATGAAGAGCAGATGTTTGGTAATTAACTGTTTGCCCTGCCACACTGATCGGTCATTCAGATAAAGTTATCTCTGTGTCTGAGCCAGGCCCCCTGTCGGAATTCTTTTAGGCAATTAAGTGAGAGGTTAAAGCTCTTCCTGAGTCTTTTGGACCTTGACTGTCTTCAGCTCAAAATAATCCACACGCCAAAGTGGCACATTTTGGGGAGGCTCATTCCGAACCCCTTCAATCTCAATGTCACATTCTTCTTTGGTCGTTAGTTGTTGTTTTTATGTAACAAAAAATATGCATTGATTAGGGTAATTGCTGTAAGTCAGATAAATATAGAATATACTCAATGTAGAGTACATTTCACTCTACTGTGCATTTATTTTTGTGTTGCATACTTCTTAGAGCAATACATTTTGCCATTTTATATACCCCTCATATTATGGTTATATCATAGAGATACAGATAGATAAATAGATTGTAGGTAGGTAGACGATATATAGGTCAATATAGGTATAAATTTGTTAGTGATACTTTGACAATGATTTATTTTGTTCTCCTTTTGTTCTGCTGAGAGAGGTGGAGGGGCAGAGCCTTTGACCATGGTTTTTTTACTGGGGTGTAATCTCCTCAGGCTCTGCCCTCATGGAATTAGGGCAGAATAAAACTACTGAATCAAGAAAAATCAAAATAGAAACAACCTCATCACCCCTTCACGCACAGGTGCATTTTTTTCACTAAACTACATTTAAAAGTGGTTATTTTGCATCTCACTCCCTCAGTTGTGCTCCTTGAAGTGGCATCACCTCTTCTTTACAAAGAGGAGAACATAGTCAAGCAACTATCATCATTGATCTTCCAGAGTCAAAGGAAAACTCTGGCGTTGGTGGGTGATATATCATCAAGTAAACTGCAGGTAGCATTGAGGAATAAAAATCCGTCGTTAGAATTTTTTCACCATACTGTTAACATTCTGACTGTGAAGCTGAGATCAATATGAATTAAATTCAACAGGCTTCCATTCAGAAGGTAAAGGGGGGCAAGTTTTATATGCTTAGAGTTTAATAGATTGGAATTCATTAATAAGCAGCACACGTGGTGGAATGGAAAGAAAATTCCTGGTGTGCAAACAGATCCATTACATATAAAGACTTACCCATAACTTCAGTTGCCGGTCACCCTCAAAACTGCACTTTACCTGGCTTTACTGTATTCACTTCTGTCATCCAGTCTATAACCATAGAGGCAATACTGACATCCTGCGTTTTGTTTGCTCTAATGTTTGGAAGAAAGGTGCAGTATCAGATCTCTCCATGGTACTCCCGGAACAGCGCTCTGAGAGTATGAGCTGTTGTGGTTTCCCCAGTGTGCTCTAGCTCTCTGGAGTCAAAAAGATTGAAAAACAGACTGATTCCTCTTTAATAAGTACACACTAGCTAAGTACGAGGCAGCTGCTGTTAAAATCTCTACCCCTAAATGGCTGTGATGGGTTATGTCACCTCTTTCTAGAGAAGTCGTTAATAAAGACTTTTCCTTTTCTTGATTTTTACTAGGTAATCGGGATGATTGATTTGTATTAGAAAGTAATTTTTTATTTATGTCTCTCTAACTTCTGCGTTTATGAAAAACATTTGTGTCAAAACACATTCTAGGGCTTCCCTGGTGGCACAGTGGTTGAGAATCCTCCTGCCGATGCAGGGGACACGTGCAGGGTTCGTGCCCCGGTCCGGGAAGATCCCACATGCCACTGAGCCTGCGCGTCCGGAGCCTGTGCTCTGCAAAGGGAGAGGCCACAGCAGTGAGCCCCCCCCCCCCCCCCGCCCCCGCACCGCAAAACAAACAAACACACACATTCTAGAGATGTTATCTCTAGACTCAGGGAAACAAACTGTTAAAGGGAAGGAAACATGATCTTGAACTCTTGACTCAAAAGTGAATGCTCAAAACACATCATTCGTTTTACTAGTGATATAACTGTGATTTTAGTTCCAAGGCCTTCAGCAGAAGAAGTGTTGAGAGGATGAGGAACAGTCAAAAAAAGCAGGAGACAGAAAGAAAGAAGGGGGGGAGGGAGGGAGGAAGGGGAAAGAAAGAAAAGAAAAGAAAGAAAAAGACCACTCAACCGCCAATAAATCGAGAGGCAATTTCAGTAGAGAAGGATGGACTTTATTCAGAAAAGCCGGCAATCTGGGGAGATGGTGGACTCATGTCCAGAGACCAGTTCCCAAGGTTCTGCTCAGCCATGACAGCTTTTAAAGGGAAAAAGGGGAAACCATCTCAGTTAATCATTAAGGCAGGAGGTCAGATTCTTCATCATTTTTCCGCTGTGTGCAGGCCTGCTGACTCCTTCCCATCTTCCTTGGGATGCATCTTGCCCACGGGGTCTACCTGCCCCCCGCAGGGTCCACCCGCAAATTTGCTAAGGGGAAGAAGCTAGGGGTAGAGAGTCAGTCATTCTTTAACTACTTAATTCTTCATTCTTACTTGTTCTCATCCAGGAAAGGGACCAACAGGTTAGGTAAGGTGTTGTGTATATTTAGAAAAGCAGAAACCAGGAGCTGTGTTAAATGTTGCCTGATCTCATCTTTATGACTAGGGTCTAAGGAAAACAGGGAAGAAGAAACAGAGAGGGGGCAAAGGAGCTGCTTACAGTAAGGAGGTCAGAGTTTTTCTTACTTAAGGCTCTCACCTTGACTTTTAATTGCCATTCTACTTATTTAGATGATGGACTATAGAGCAGGGTCTTTCAAGTGGGATTTGTGAAGATGACAAGAGCATTCATTAAAGATGACAAATCAAACTAGTAAAGTCCATGGGTGGTACCAAAGCTCGCTCACGGGAGGCACTTGTGAGTCTTCAATGAACTCAAAAATGT